CTGGAAAGGACAGGGCTCTCCGTATATCGTGGGGTAAAACGGAAAAATGGAAAGACTAGAAAGAAATCTCAGCTGTTGGCTTGGCTGAAAAACATTAGTTTTGGGCTACAGGTCCCTCTCTAGAGAGTGTCTCGGGGCTGGGAGCCAGCAGGCCAGGGTGAGGAGCCGGTAAGTTGTGCCACTCTTCCCTTGTGAGGGCATGACATCACATCAATACTTTCCACCCTCTAAGAGGAGGAAAACTTGGTCGCGGCCACTGCAGCCGGGCGTGCAGTCCGCTCCACAAGCAGCAATGCTGTCTCACGTGTCCCCTTTCTCAGCAGCGCCGGTGAGGGACGCCAGCCAAGGGTGGAACAGGTCTGCATGGAGTCGGTCAACCAGAGAGAAACACAAGGAAAATCTTTCTTCAAGTCCCCAGCTGAGTTTGCCCTGACACTACCCCACCTTGTTTGAGGGAGGGAAGAGTCTGGTTACTACGAGCACTTTTTGTTCATTAAACTGGAGCTGCAAGAACTAATTTGCCTTTTGGGCAAGCTTGCTGAATACAAAGCTGTCTGTTGTCCCTCCGTCCCGGGGCCGGCTCGCGCGACCTATCTGCGCAAGCACTCGCACAATGCGGCAGGCACCGCAGGCATTTCTAGCACTTCACATCAGAGGTGGCAAAGACAGAGCTTTAGCTAGTGAGCAAAGAGATTTCCTGATATTCCTGGCCCAGCGCGAGAGCTTTTCTTTGAAACGCGGCAGGACTTTGCATTTGCATCACTTTCATTTCCCTCACCTGAGTTTTGCTGGTGCCAATGTGGGTTGCAAGGAAGCACGTTGCGTTTTATCACGTAAATTCTGCTGGGTAAACTCTTGCGAAGGGTAAGCCTCGAGGTGACCCTTCGTTGGCGGAGCGAGGAGAGGACGAGGCGCCCTTCAGCGACTCCTCCGTAGGGGCTTTCACTTTCCAGGAGGGTCAGTCCCCAGAAGCAAAAGACAGCTTTTTGCTGCTGAGTCCAATATCAGGCACGGCAGGCCTGTTTAAACCCAGATGGCAATAACTTTGGAGAATGCGATCTCTCGCTGCCCCCTGAAGAAAGAGCAAAGGGAAGTTTACAAAAGCCCCATATGTGGCTGAGTCATTTTAAGCTGCTCAGGTACAGACACACCTCTTCCTTATCCAGAAAGCTCCTCAGGGAAAGAAGGAAAGACATATGTTTGGCCTCCGCAGCAAGCTCTTATCTTGGCAGGAGAAAGCTATTGATGTTCATGTTTCACATTTCTGGCGCCCAAAACAGGTTCTGATGTTTAAAATGAGGCAGCGGTGGAACCTGTTTTAAATATGTAGCAGTCTCGGAAAGGAACAGTCTAATCACTTCATTATCCAACACAGCAGAAAATGGTTTGAAAACCGAATTTGGAAGGGGCGGGGGGGCTTAGAGGAACCTTCTGCAACAAGACATTGCCAGTATTAACCCTGGTATTTATTGCTCATTTTAACTATGGTGCACAGCAAGCATTTTCTCAGCCTCGCATTGCAAGAATATATAATTCATATGCTTAATATTTAGCCTCAGCTCTCCTTGCATATGTTACAGTGCTGGAGACTGTTTGTGTGTTTGCTATATATCAGTTGACACCTCTGTAAAATCTTTATATTGAATGCCTTTGGCAACTATATGCCAAATAATAGCATTACCATTTGTAATTTTCTTAGCTGCAGCTTTCCTGTAAGCTTTGCTCTATGCATTACAAGTAGGAAGGATTTAAAGAGCTTTATTGGTTCTCAAGTCTTCCTAATGACCTTTCCTTGCTTTTGTAAGTCAAAATAACTTTTTTCTTTTCTCCTTGTGCATTTTCAAGTAAGGCTGCAAGAGCGCCTAAGCAAATAAGTAAGAGAACTAGATAATCGGTGCCTCTGCCCCTGCTTTAACTCTCTCCGTTCCTCCTCTTTCTCTCTTGCTTCCTGATCAGGGTTCTCTGGTGTCGCCTTCATATTTTGTTGACTCTTTTTGTGCAAATGCCTTTCTTCCCTCCCTCCCGTCTTTGGATCCACTCATTATTTTAGCTGCGCTGGAAGAAGAAATAGTAAAGACCCCTGTGAAAGATCGGGGCCTAGCCGTGCTAAGTGCTGTACAAATAACACAAAAGCTGTCCTTGCTTCCGAACTCGCAGTGTAGGATTTAGACAATATGCCACTGAGGAGTAAATCGATAAATGGGAAGGAGAGGAGTGTTTCAGAAGGAGATATGTTTATACCTATTAATGATTATGTGGAGTTTCAATAGTCACATTATTTGCTTCTTTTATAAATTCTGCCTGTTTTCACCTAGAACCTCTCAATACCTCCCTGAATCGAGGATAGCCTTTTGTTTTGTCCGTCCTCTGCATTGTCTGAGCCACGTTAGGCTGTGAACTTCTCAGGACTAGGACTGCATGTTATCCTTGTGTAGGTAGCGCTAGGTACATTTACAGAGTTGTATATTTGCTTAATAAAAATAAATAACCGGCAGAAGTTCCAAGCTCAGAATTACTCCAGACACAGCATTTTCCTTATTGCTTTGTCTTGTGGAAAACAAAGTACATTTTATCCTACGTTTATCATGTAGCTTATGTGGTACTTTTCATTTTGATGTATGGCACGCTTTCTGATGTGTCTCCCCTCATGTCTCTTTATTACTAAAGTGTTTCAGTGGAAAAGTATATTACAAACAAATAAATAACTTTCAACTACTGTGACTAGACTAGCTAGTGAACCACAAGCACAAGCTATTTGAGTCTGTTCATTACGAGTGTTATTCCAGACTTTCTGATTATCTTTTTATTTTAATGAATGCCCCTCCCAGCTTCACCCTAAAGAAATTTTGCTATCCAGCTCTTGTTCTCTTATATCGCTCCAAAGGGCTGTTGGAGCTGGTTCAAGGCATCTTGCAAGAAAAAACAAAACTCTGTTTCATTTCCCCCAAAATGAAGAGCTGGAACGTGGGAAGGGGAGAGGAAAGGAGAAGGAGCAGAGAGGCAGAGGGTGGGCAAGGTCTCTTGCTTGTCTTGGGAGAGGGAAGGGAGCGGGGACACTGCTGGTGCGACGGGCCACCTTCCCCTGCCGGCATCTGTCAGCCCAGGCACCCGATATCTCCTCGGCTGCAACCGCAGCCGCAGAGAGCCTGGCTTGCTAGGGCTGCGAAGGCAAAACAGGCAAAACATCAGTCCCAGCTGCTTTGCTCTGCTGGACGGCTCGGCATCTTGGCCCGGGCTCAGTCTGTGCTGGGTAACAGCTCTGTCTGCGCTGCTGCAGGTTCAGCCTGCATTTTGTGACAACCTAAACTAAGAAGCAGGAGTTTGGAAATGGTTGAAACTGTGGAGCAAGGCTTACTGGGGTGTGGGGGCAGGATGAACGACCCTGGCTGGTGTTGCGTGAGGCCTGATCAGGAAGTGAGGATGAGCCAGCCGCTGAACGTCACCAGCTAGGAGACCAGAGAGAGCGAGTTTAAACGCACGAAACATTCTTTGTCCATTTAGGAAGGAGAGAGAGGCAAAAACCTGGCCTAAAAATAGCAGTTTGGGAAGCACCTGCAAACCGTCATTAGTACCACAAACCTCTTGGTAACTTTATAAAGGAGCACGGGCAGGAGGGTGCAGGCTGCCAGCGCTGCCGCAAACACAAGCGAGCCCTGTGCTCAATAAGGACAGGATCCCGCCCCCCCTTCCCTCCACCATCACCTTCCTTCTCTACAGCAACAAATGCGCCTGAGGTTGTTTTACACGAGCTGGGTTGTACATGCAAAACTCTGTGACAAGCCCATTAAAAGTGTGTTAAATTACAATACTCCTGTTTAGGCTCCTTCACCAAGATGTGGCTTCTAATTTATGGCAGCTGCTGGATGACAAACGTACAGATGAATTGAGGAAGCAAAGAAACTGCACAAAGGGAAACGGATAGCACGGCATGTTTTTCCTTCAGGCAGGCCTGAAGCCTAGGCATGTTTGTTTGTTTTTAAGCACTTTCTATGAAAATACCGTTGTAAAAGAATTCTTTTAGCCACATCCTTTCTGCTCCCCTGCCCCAGCCTGATTGTGTGAAAAAGCAGCTTTGCCATAAACAGATTTTACTATATCAGAGTCAAATTTTACTACATCATTATAAGAGCGTTCCACTGGGTAACGTGATTGGCTGCCCTATCCGAGCACTCGTGCTAACGCTGTAGTGAAAACATGCCATCGCACTTCCCCAATAAAAAGTTTTATTGTATCCCAGTGCACATTAAAAACAACACTAACTGCATTAATACATTGTAATTTACTTTTGTGTTATGGAGCAAATGACAAACCTGGTGCTAATGAGGTCATATTTTCCGTTACCCCAATGCAAACTCTTGGTTAATCCAGTCCTCCGAGGTTTCCAGTTGGAACTCCGACACCCCTGTGTGCGCACCCGCGCGCGCACCGTGCATGCGCTGGCAAGGGATGTTTCCATTATCGTTTTGCCAAATGGGGTGATATAATATGATTTTATTGCAAACTGCTGCATTTGAAACAATTTTTTTTTTTTATCACTGTGGCATTCGCATTTTGTTCACAAGGCATTCTTTAACGAAAAAATATACAAGCATTCGCATCACCAGTGTTGACCCTTTCCTGCGAAGTCCCTTTCACGCTGTATTAAACAGACATGCAGTTCTTCTGTGCTGCAGAAGATGAGGCTGCATGGATCCTTTAGGGATTGCTTATATTTCAAGTGCAATTATTTAAGAAGCTGTAAGCTTTCCATTTTATTTTGTCATGAGCTGAATGTTAGAAAACTCATTTCTCAGGAGACATGGATGATTCTTTATTTCTAAACTTCCTGTGGTGTTTTCTTAATGATGCTATTAAATGATTAAGCTTTGCTTTTATAAATTAAATCGCCAAAATGAAATCATTAAGGCTCTCTCAGTTTTATTAAGCATAGTTATTTGCCATCATGTGTAAATTCACTTAAGTAATCATCTACACTATCTGCTTTAAAATTGTGTTGGCAGCATGACTGGGAAGTCAGTTCGGAGCGGTGGATGGAGCTACCTGTTTCTCTTCCATTTCAGAAGAAATACTCCAAATGCGCTAATGAGAGAGAGCGAAGGATGTGTTTGAGGAAGGCAGGCCAACCCCGAGCGCTTAGTGGGCGACAGATCCACAGCTTTGCCCTGCATCTGCTCTCGGGTAGGCGGTGACTGTCACTCCAGGGCTTAATGCTTTGCAAATGGCAACAAGGGCTTGCACCCAGCCTTCTCCGTCCCGTGTGAAACACAACCGGGGCTCCATCAGGTTGCATTAGTTAGCAAATGACTTTGTCTTTATTTTCCCTCCAGTTCCTTCCCATTCTCTCTTTTGGTATCTCTCCTCTGCTCCATGCTATTTTTTCTTGCCACATTTTAGTCTCTACTCTGCTGATGAATTAGTTTGTTGCTCAGGGAGAAAATTGATCTTCACTCTTACAGAAGTTGCAAGACAAGTTATGCTTAGTTCAGGCTGTGGTATTTTGCTCACCCATGCTAGGATAAGAAATAGGTGGTACTAAATATATAGAATTGAACTGCAGCTGCAGAATCTAAACTAGAGACGCTCACTGATATTTACATTTAAGGCCATTCCCTTTAGCTCTTAAAACCACTGTACATTTTTAATAATGTTTTATCGGAGAGGTTTTCTTTGTGGAAAGATTAAAGTGAGACAGGATGGGTGTCTAGTGACTCAGGAACTAGGGTGAGTTGGGAAATCCTTGGTTTGCCGTGTATTGCCTGTAACGTATGGATAGTGCGAGGAGAGCGATGGGGAGGCAGCCTGATATGCTAATGCAAGTATCTGCAGGAATTGTGCATATAGGTTCATAAGACAGGTAGGAATTAAGCAAAGCAAAGCAACTGAGGAAGCTGTGGTTTCCTCTGCTGCGAGGGGATAGCTAACTTGCCCTCCCCTGGTGTCACGAAGGGCTTGCTGGTGGCTCTCACTTTCTTCTCCTGTCACTGGCGAAGATGGAGATAATGGGGAGGCTCCATAACCGAGTTTGGCTTGTGGTCAGAAACCGCGTGGTCACCGGGAGAACATGCCTCTGGAGCAGTGCACACCTCTCTGAACCACTAGCAAAGCCGCAGTGCTTTTTCTCTCTCTTTCTCTCTCTCTTTTTTTTGTTCACTATGTGAAATATAAAAACAGGGAGTAATTGATGATAGTTTTTTCTTGTGTTGCAAGCAATGTTTAATGCCATTCACTTTCAAACTTTAGCAAGTAAATATTGCCAAACTTGACACTGCCTGTTACTATTTTACAAGCTTGCTGGCAAATAAATGAATAAGCAAATATTTCCTATTATCTTTTAAAAATATTTTCAGAAAACTGTGAGTAACCACAGTTCTCCAAAAACATCCCTAAGCTGATCACAACAGTTTGCTTAAGTTTTGAGTGGCAGAAGTTAATTAAGTCGAAGGAATTTCAGAATAAAAAAATCATTCTAGACAAAAAAAAGTGTTTCAAAACTAGTGAGATGCAACTTTTCATATCCTCACTTTTTTTTCTGTGACTTCTTGTTCTCTAAACTGAAAGTTTAGCAAATCTGAGAGAAATTTGTGCAGTTGGCTGGTACTGAGAAACCTGACTATTTTTTTGTTAGTACTGCTGAATCCTTTCTCTTACTTCTGATGAATAAATTTTGGGTGTAACATGGATGTAAAATTTAAGATTCTACATCTGAGTTTTGTCTGTTTCCATTCTTAAAGGTACTTATTTAGTCAGACTTTTCTGGAAATCAAATATGCAGAAGTCATGAAACATCTCTGATGATGGTAATGTTAATGCAAAACAATTTGCATTATATACACATGCGCATATATATTTATATATATAGAAATATATTTGCTACTTTTATGTGGTTAACATATATCTGCTGTAATTTTAAGATACTCTGAAATATATGAAGTGCTTTTAAATTTGATCTGGAAGCATATTAAAACAAATGAAAGTCAGCAGTAAATCTGGGACAGTATTATTGAAAACCTAATGCAGATATCTGCGCTGTTTGCAGAGAGGCCTTTCCGTCAGACTTAGAATAGTTTTGGCTGAATTTTCAATGAAAGAGTTTAAACCATAGGAACAATAAATTTTTTGACTTGACAGAAAACATTGTTATATAGACAAATAACTGGCACGCCAGTAAATAAATGGAGTGCATTTTCCAAACATCAGTAGATGCCTGGGCAAAATCCATTTTAACAGGAACAGATTTTTGTGTGTGTGCAGTGGCTCCTATATAGTGTTTGGAAAATGTACCCATATGTCTACTCACAAATAATGTTCACCTGTAAGGAAATGCACACCAGGTTTATGGACGCTATTGAGTATTCCCAGTCCTACTACTATGAATAATGATGCTTACACGCCCTCAAACATGAAAACGGCTCATCTGAATGACTGAAGTAGCCTGACATACAGATTGTTGACGTTATTTTTTAAAGAAGTATTCACATGTGGAGTCGGCAGCGTTATCTCTGCCACGCTCCAGGAGAAAGAAGGGGTCTTGGGACTTAGCGGAAAACCAGTTATTGGTGTTAGCTGATCCAGGGAGTTTGCTCCAAAGCTGAAGATTTGGATTCCCCAGGGTGGGCAATTGCTCTCTGCTCGTGCGTCAGGCCTAAGATGGACGGCCTGGCCTTCAGCAAATAACTTTGCTGCCTGTTGCCTCTTTTCTCCGTTTGTCATAGCTGAATAGGTATAATTACGTATCTGTTGCTTTAGAAGATAAAATTAGTTCATATTTTGCAAAGCAGGTGGAAGAAAAAAGAGCTAGTTACCTCTGGTCTTGTCATTCTTCTTTTTATTAACTGCCCATTGGAATTATTTGCCTTTGCTAAGAAAAGGCTATTAAAAGAATAAGAAATGCAAGCTGGCGTTTCTTCCTGACGTACCAGGTTCTGGTCCTGAGCATTAAAATGCCGCCAACCCCTTTAGCAAGCTTGACCCGGCTAGGCCAGAGCAATACAAGAGAGGCAGCAAGACTGTTCTGCAGCAGCTACAACAGGTAGCAATTTGGCTCGCTGTGCCTGCATCCACATTTCGTCTGTGGATCTGAGCCTTGAATCGCATGTTGCTAGGCGGATACTATTTTCAAACGTTTAAGGAAAGCTTTTGAGCGTAATGTGCACTTCTCTCCTTCAACATTTAAAGATTGTAGCAGTGGGAGAGGCATGCAGCATATCTGTAAAAGCCTGAAAGCTGATGAAATCTCAGTTAGATCTGTTATCTCCCAATGCTTTAAAGGTCTTCAGCTGGGAGATTAAAGAACAAGGTTACTGTGACAATTTGTTTACACGCAGGGAGAGATTAAGATCTCGTTGAAAAGGAATAAAAATAACATCATCTTGAGCTGTCACAGCATGAGACCCATTGTAATCAACACTGGTCTGATTTCAGGGATAATTTAAGACCAATTTATTATCTTAATTAAAAAAAAGAAGAAGAGAGAATTCAGTGTTTCAAATGCCAGTTGGACTGCTAAAAATGATGCCTCTGGAGTATCTACGTTTCACACAGTTAGGAACTTTAGAGGTGTTCTGAAGGGGATGCCAAAACCAGATGATACAAACATTTGAATCTGTCTTGATGAACATTGGGTTAATTATAGAGTTAACCACAGAAAAACGACACCAACATTCCCAGATTCCCAAACTCACTGAGAAAATGAACACAGAAAGCATCATTTCCCAAAGTCTCCTTTGTCCCTATCTGGCAGGCAGGTGAAAATGAAATAAATATACATGCAGAACTCCCTTTGACTATGTTTCATGCATTTGACTGTGAAATGTTTTAACTATTTAGTTACTCACAATAATAATAAGAAAAGGTCATGCTGAATATTCATCATATCCGGCATTCTTGAAATTTAAACTCCTCGAGTAGCAGGTATCCCAACAAACGCAGAAGCACTTTACACAGTTCAGAGCAGGGCTTGCCATGTTTCACAGGCATTTGACGTCAGCCAGTACTTAAAAAGAGACCATTTCTTCCTCCTAATTCATGTGAAATAGAGAACTCTGTAGCTCTTCAAATAAAATGGAGTGAAAAATGAAGACTATGTGAATTTGACTTGCCTGTTTTTGTGGTGCTTTTGCACTTGTTTTTAGCAAATGTTCAAATGGTTATTTCTATCTCTCATGCTTGCAAGAAGAAATTTTAAATTTGTTCCTCATGATCATTCACCCTTGGAAGCTGCTGATACAAGTTACTATATGCTCATCCAGCTGGTGGAAGAATATCAGGTGACTCATACGACAGAGCAGTTGGCACAAATAACAAATTTTAAAAGTAACTAGGGAAAAAGAAGGAAATTCACCACAAGTATATTTTTTAAACAAATTTGAATCAAATTTGGCCAACTGGAAGAGTGTTTTCAGACATTTGCCTCAGAGAAAAAGGTGGGATGAGACAGATGAATTACTCACTGCGATTTGCCCAGGTCTCATGTCTCTGCAGCTCTATTTTACAGGACCACCCTTGGAGATTTTCTGTTCAGCTTTGAACCATTCCAGACCTTTGAAATAGACTCAAATGTGGGTTAAATGAAATGGGTTAAGTGAATCCATGAGCACCACAACCAGAAGAAGAGTTGATCAATGAATTCTCACCTATATATAAAATGCAAAGGACCAGAGGGAGTCTGGGTGGACATCGACTGGATCCAAGTGCTCCAAAGCGACCATACCCACGGCACTCCTGAGGACTTCCAAACACCAAGACTTTATTACATCCTCAAGCAAACTGTTCCAGTGTTTCACTGCCCTTAGCGTTAACAAGTTTTACCTACAGAGCCTTAAGAAGTTTTACCTACAGAGTGACTGAGATGCCTGAACATAGGTCTCTACTGCCTTTTAAAATGTCTTATGGCATCTTGCCTTGCCTACAGCTTCATCACAAAGTTACAAAGCTCCCATAGGTCCTTTATCACGTCTGCCAGCCTGTTTTGGACCCCCGGCTACCTAAATCGACACTAAATACTTGTGTATAGGCGCCTGAATTGTTCCCTTAACCTGACTGCTTCTTGCTGTAATGTAACATCTTTACTTTTTGGCCTAGCCAGCATGGCTAGGGAATATAGACTGTGTCCTTCTGTCCTTGTTTACTTTCCTGAAGACTCTCAGTTAAAACAATTGTGTTTATTCAGTCTTTTTTCAGAGTCTGGTTTCCTTAAATCGCTGATCATTTGGGCTGCTTTCCCTGGACCCTCTCTGAACACTCCACATCTTTTATAAAGTGCAGCACCCAAGAGAAACCCAGCACTCCACCTCTGCTGGCCCCAACCAGTGCTGCCTGAAATGGAGGTCATTCAGGAGTCTCGCCAACAATGCTCCTGCTTATATGTGCTAATACGCTGTTTGCCCTTTCCACCACACCACGACAGTGTTCCCCCCTCTTCAGCATGAGATTTGATCATCTCTTCATATGCTTCAATGCAGAGTCACCTTCTTGCCAGCCTCTCCATAGTTTTCATGTCCCTTGTTCCTGTCTAGACATAGGACTCAGAACTGGCCCTTAGGAGGTGGTATCCTATTTTTTCCAGACCATTTTTTCCAGTTTGTCAAGTTCTCTTTGCATTGCCTTCCTTCCTTTCAGTGAGCTAGTTAACTCTCCCAGCTCAGTGCGCTCTGAAGATTTAATACACATATTCCTTATTTAATGAACATGTTGAACAGAACTGGTCTGACCC